TGTTCCTTCTTTTCATCGACCTTCTGTAGCTCTTTGGAACATTTTACGATTAGTGCATTCGACTATTTGTTTCTTTTGGGCCATTCAACCTTTTGTATCTCTTTCAGCCATTCGAACTTGTGTCCATTCGATCTTTTGTCCATCTTTGAACCATTTGTACATTTGTCCATTCGACCTTGTGTACCCTTTTGCATCATTTGACCTTTTGACACCCTTCTCATTATTCAACCTTTTGTCCATTAGACCTTTAATATCTTCGACTTTTTGTCCTTCCAACCTTTTGTCATTCGAAGTTTTTTCTTTAGACCATTTGTACCACATCCCTTTTAATCTGGATGAAAGGTAGAATTTACAAAAAATCAAATTGACAAAAGGTTGAATGTACATAAGGCCGAAAAAGAGTTAAAAAGACAAAAGGTCGAATGGATAAAAGATCGAAGCCGACAAAAGTCTAAAATGGACAAAACATTTTTTTTCTTTATTTAAGAGATTTTTAGCCATAGGCTAGTTCAAACAAACAGCCGAATGGGACAACCTGTCGAATTGCACAAAAGGTCAAATGAGACAAAAGGTCAAATGGGACATAAGGCCGAATGGGACAAAATGCTGAATAGACAAATGGTCGAATGGGACAAAATTTTGAATGGAAAAAAAGATCGAATATGCAAAAGGTTGAATGGACAAATGGCCGAATGGGACAAACGATCGAATGGGACAAAAATTTGCATGGGACAAAAAGTCGAATGGAAATTATGGAAAATGTTTTGAAAATAAATAAGAAGTAGAATTACTTCAAGTTAATCACAAAAAATATACTTAAAAACATCATCAAGGCAATATGACATGTAAAGCACGTAAATCAAGCTTAGGCTTTAAGCTACGTAACTGAAATACTCGTTATAACTCTCGCTTGGTGATAACACTTTCTCTAAAATATGAGCAGTTCTTTTATAAATAAAAGTTTTAAAACAATCCAACATCGAAACATATTTCTCAATCTTAATGTTGAGTCTTGGAGGCGAACCAGCCCCAGGCTGAAAGCCTCCCTAATAAAGATACATAATAATAATAATCTTAATGTTGAGTCCTTCTTTGTTACATTAGCAGTTCTTTGTCAAATAAAAGCTATTTAAATTATGCTTCTTCTTCTTCTTTAACGCATTTCAAGCTAAATACCTAGACCAGACCGGGAATCAAACCCAGCCGCCTCCAGCATGGTCTTGCTTTGTAGCTGCGCCTTTACTGACTGAGCTAATGGAGGCCCCAAAAAAAACTATTTAACACTCATGCTTAAAATGCTCGCAAGCTATGAAAGAATTTCCTTTTTGTAACATGAGCAGTTTTTTGAAAGATAAAAGCTACTGACAACCCATCTTTAAACGCTCGAAAGTAAATTTGAGCTTGTGTCCATACGTTATTTTACCGCCATTTGTCCATTCAAACTTTTGTCCATTCGACCTTTTGTCCCATATGAATTTATGTCCATTAGACCTTTTATCCCTTTCGACCATTTGTCCATTTCAACCTTTCGTTTATTGTTTCTTGTTTCATGTTTCTTGATTCTTGCTTCTCGTTTCAGGTTTCTTGTTTGTTACATATTTGTTTCTTGTTTGTTGCTTGGTTCATGATTCTTTGTTCATTGTTAATTGTTAATTGATAATTGTTAATTGTTAATTGTTAATTGTTAATTTTTAATTGTTAATTGATAATTGTTAATTGTTAATTGTTAATTGTTATTTTTAATTGTTAATTGTTAATTTTTAATTGTTAATTTAAAATTGTTAATTGTTGATTGTTAATTGTTAATTGTTAATTGTTATTTGTTAATTGTTTATTGTTAATTGTTAATTGTTTATTGTTAATTGTTAATTGTAAATTGTAAATTGTTTATTTTTAATTGTTAATTGTTAATTGTTAATTGTTAATTGTTAATTGTTAATTGTTAATTGTTAATTGTTAATGGTTAATTGTTAATTGTTAATTGTTAATTGTTAATTGTTAATTGTTAATTGTTAATTGTTAATTGTTAATTGTTAATTGTTAATTGTTAATTGTTAATTGTTAATTGTTAATTGTTAATTGTTAATTGTTAATTGTTAATTATTAATTGTTAATTGTTAATTATTAATTGTTAATTGTTAATTGTTAATTGTTAATTGTTAATTGGTTATTGGTAATTGTTAATTGTTAATTGTTAATTGTTAATTGTTAATTGTTAATTGTTAATTGTTAATTGTTAATTGTTAATTGTTAATTGTTAATTGTTAATTGTTAATTGTTAATTGTTAATTGTTAATTGTTAATTGTTAATTGTTAATTGTTAATTGTTAATTGTTAATTGTTAATTGTTAATTAATAATTGTTAATTGTTAATTGCTAATTGTAAATTGTTAATTGTTAATTGTTAATTGTTAATTGTTTATTGTTTATTGTTTATTGTTTATTGTTTATTGTTTATTGTTTATTGTTTATTGTTTATTGTTTATTGTTTATTGTTTATTGTTAATTGTTTATTGTTTATTGTTTATTATTTATTGTTTATTGTTTATTGTTTATTGTTTATTGTTTATTGTTTATTGTTTATTGTTTATTGTTTATTGTTTATTGTTTATTGTTTATTGTTTATTGTTTATTGTTTATTGTTTATTGTTTATTGTTTATTGTTTATTGTTTATTGTTAATTGTTAATTGTTAATTGTTAATTGTTTATTGTTTATTGTTTATTGTTTATTGTTTATTGTTTATTGTTTATTGTTTATTGTTTATTGTTTATTGTTTATTGTTTATTGTTAATTGTTAATTGTTAATTGTTAATTGTTAATTGTTAATTGTTAATTGTTTATTGTTTATTGTTAATTGTTAATTGTTAATTGTTAATTGTTAATTGTTAATTGTTAATTGTTAATTGTTAATTGTTAATTGTTAATTGTTTATTGTTTATTGTTTATTGTTTATTGTTTATTGTTTATTGTTTATTGTTTATTGTTTATTGTTTATTGTTTATTGTTTATTGTTTATTGTTTATTGTTTATTGTTTATTGTTTATTGTTTATTGTTTATTGTTCATTGTTTATTGTTTATTGTTTATTGTTTATTGTTTATTGTTTATTGTTAATTGTTTATTGTTTATTGTTTATTGTTAATTGTTTATTGTTTATTGTTTATTGTTTATTGTTTATTGTTTATTGTTTATTGTTTATTGTTTATTGTTTATTGTTTATTGTTTATTGTTTATTGTTTATTGTTTATTGTTTATTGTTTATTGTTTATTGTTTATTGTTTATTGTTTATTGTTTATTGTTTATTGTTTATTGTTTATTGTTTATTGTTTATTGTTTATTGTTTATTGTTTATTGTTTATTGTTTATTGTTTATTGTTTATTGTTTATTGTTTATTGTTTATTGTTAATTGTTTCTTGCTTATTGTTTATTGTATTGTTTCTTTATTCTTGTTTCTTGTTTCTTGTTCCTTGTTTCTTGTTTCTTGTTTCTTGGTTTTTATTACTTCGTCTTGCATTTTTTATTTCTACTTACATTTTCAAATCACCTGTACTCTGCCCCAATTCCACGTCCATGAATACGAAACGCGTATATAGATATTTCTCAACCAGCAACCCAACAAAATGCGAAAGGAAATTAAGCCATCCTCACCAAACAGAAGTCCCATGATTCGAGTTTCCGCCAGCATGTCTGTCTCTATTTGTTTTGCTGCAGTATTCGAGGGCAGCCTTTTAAAATTACCATTTCTGGAAAACGACAGAAGAAAGCCATTTTCCAGAAAGAAGACCACCACCATCGCAAATACTGCTGGTTGGCAGCAAAATTCTCTCTCACCCCACAACTCAGCAATAAAGATGCCCGATTTGGCACAACTTTGCGACCGCTCTGATATATTATAAGCACCATTGGTTCGTCTTCGTCGTTTGTCTAGTAGGGAGCAAAGAAGAGAACGGTCACGCACAGATACTGCCCTTTTCCAATTCATCCTCGTGCCTTACCCTGATTTACCCCTCAGTCACCGTTGATTGAAAGTGAAAGTGAAACTTCATGCTGTGGAACGAGCAAAAAAAAAATTATGAATGAGCGAGTAAATGTAAATGAATGGAACCGTGAAATTCCACTCGACAATCGATACTCCCTCCCTCCGGGTGGGTCTGTGTTTACTACCCTCGCCTTCAACGTTCAACCTGATGATGTTTGCAAAACACACAAGTCCGAAGAAAATTCCCTCTCCTCCTCTCCCGAACTGGCTTTCGCAGGCAGAGGTCAGCCAACCAGCTGCGGATGGTCTAAATTTATCCCCGTGTGATGGCTATTTTTACGACTCGACATTTACGTGAGTCTCCCCATCTCCGGTTGTGCGTCCATTTCTGCGTAATGTTTGCAGTTGTTTTGTTTTTTAAGGTCTTCATTTTCGTGCTAATCCAGAAGAAGACCAAAAGTAGATGCCATAAGACATCAGCTGACGGTGGGAATTTTGACAACGCCGTTTTTACAAATGCTCGATATCATTCGTTCGGGGGGTTGTGAAATTTTAGTTGGAAAATAGAAATCGATAATTTTATGAATATAAGGTTAAACAAAATAAGGCAGGGAAGTTTTTGCAGCATCCAAATCACATCTCTGCTAGGCACGATTTATGAGGAGTCCTAGACTAGGTAGAAACAGTAACAAATTGGACTATAAATTGATTTAACCACTGTGCTTCACAAACATCGTTAGGCTAATTGCTGACCTTTCAACTGATAACTCGTGCAGTGCATCCGCCATAATTGACACCCCACTTGAAAACGAGATCATTACGGTTGAAGCCCAATCAAGCTTGTTACCAGACCACCATCCACTGTGCACTGCAATAAATCACATGTCTTCCCAGTCCCAGCCGACCAGACAGACCGAAACCGAAAAACCGCACAGCACTGAGTCTGCCAAAAGCAGCTGCCCATCAATTTCGAATAAATTTGTCGGGAACCGCTACACAAATCTCGGTAGGTACTTACTCCGTTCAATCTTTGTCATGCTCATGCCGCGGCCGGTTTTCCTCCACTGCCGGCACCATCCCTTAGAGGTGAACAACTTGAGCAGGCTGCCACTGTGCGGTGTGATTTCCCCGCCCCGTTCGATCTCCGACGACCGGCAGGACGAGGAATCCTCAAAACTCGAACCACGTCGAGTTCGCTGGAAACAGCCACAGCTCCGCAGTATGTCAGTCATCGTTTCGTTTGACAATTGCCCGCCTGCCACAGAACGATGAGGCTAACCGCACGAACACACACACTTTTTCCACACTCGTCCTATCCTACTACTGCCGTTGTTACAACTACGCACTACACTACAGCTAGGGGGCACTCTTCCTGTGGTAGAAAACACCCGAACTTCAAACCTCTTCTAGGATATTTCCCTTGATTTAATCACCCTTACTTGATGCTATGAATTCTTCTACCGGCACTCACATTTCCAACGTGCTACACCACAAAGCCACACATCCTTCGGCACATTCAGTAGCTCACTTCCATGGGGCTCTTGCTTTTCAATAAATTGGAATTTTCCACCCTTCTGAAGGGCTTTGTTTCACTCTTCGGTTTATTTTTTGCTCGTGGGAAGCTTTTTAATTTGTCACCCTTGTTACTTCATTACGTGGTCGCCCATCGGCCATCACCTATGGGTACTGCAAGAATGACAACGACAGGTAAGGCGGGAGAAATCGATCCGCTCCGCTGGTGTCGTCTGGGTGCTCGTCGTTGGAGGAAAGTTTCCAGGCTAGGCGGCAATCTTTTAATTAACTTTCCACATTCTTCCACCCTGCTGGTGGTCTGCTCTGCTGATGAGTACGCGGGATGATACAGCCTGACAGTGACTGGAGGATGATCCACCTGGATACGGGTGTCGTGGCGTCTGTGCTTTCTCTTCTAATCCTTAGTTAATACGGGGTCGGTAGGATGCTTGTCAAGGATGTTGTCTTCTACGGCGATGAGGATAAACATGTGACGGGTTCTCTGAAATAGAACAGAAAGAAAGGGGTGGATGTGGTTTCAATTAGTTAATGGTTGGAAGTACGATAGTGAAATGAGGTAAATTATTCAGATTCGAAGGTTGCAAACCATGCGTTTCCAGAGACTTGATCGGATCGGAAGCGAATTTAGTGAGGCAGGACACTATGCTTACAATTTTGTGCGAACGAGTTCTGTAACTTAAATATATATGGTAATCCATTATAATGCCGAGGAATCCATGCATGAAATCTTTGTTTCAAATTCTTCAGAGACCTTCAAAAAGCATCGTAGAACTTATGAAAACTTCGTAGACATTCGTTGAACTGCGTTCAAGTTCTGAAAATATTCTAGATGTACAGCAATTCAGAAAATTCTGTTAAGTTTTCAAGTCCAAGCAAAATTTGTTGAAGTTCAGTGAAATTCAGTTGAACATGGAACTTCGGATAATTTTGTAGAACTCAGCAATTTTTGAAGAAGTTCAGAATTTTTTTAGATCTTCATCAAATATTGTGAAAAATAAGCGAACAAATATTGTGAAAAATTAGCGAAATTAGCGAATTTTGTAAAAATAAAGGAACCATGCTGATGTTTGGTGACATTTCTTTAATGTCATTAGAGATGATCAGAGTTTATCTTCAGAATTCAGGAAATTTATGCTTAAATCGGAGACCTTAGTAGAGCACAAATGCAGAGATAATCGAAGCAATTGGGGGGTTGTGATGAAATTCGGAAAAGTTTTCTGAAAACTGGGAACCTTCTAAAAGTTTGGGAAATTTCGTTAAATTCATTTAGCTTCTGGGTTATGAAAAATTTAATGAACTTAAGATATAATTTGTAAATTCCGTAGAAAATCTAGAAATGTTAGAGAAGTTCAAGACACTTTGAAGAAATTCAGATAACTGCATAATAATCTTGAGAACTTCGTAGAATTTTAGCGAATTACAAAGAAACTCCAGGAAATGCTGATGATTGCAAGGAATTTCATAGAGGCTTGGAAACTTTGTTTCGCTCAGATATTTAGAAAAAAAAATCGTAGCAAGGTTCAAAGCTATTCCTGAAATTTGGAGGTCATGGTTTCAACCTAAGTAACCTTTTCCGAGCAGGAGAAAATAACTGTATTCATCAGTTAATTCAGACCTGATAACAAAATTTAGTACTGACCAGCACGACATAAGAGATAAAATACCAAAGAATAATACCGACAAAAAATACTCGCAAATACTTTGTAAATAACAAAAAATGATATTTGGATACCAATATAATACCTGTGTGGTATTATTTTGGTATTGCATTACCATAATTAAGTATTGGAATAGTATTGTAGGAACATTTTATTTTTTTGGTATTCTTTTTTGGTATTTTACCTCTTATTTCAGGCTCATCCATACTAGAGAGGGTCTAGTATAAGAGAGGAGCGGATTCAAAACAAACTACCTTAGCAACCTATGCCTAGGTGATTTCTTGCAACACTGCCAATTCAATCGAGATAGGCCCTTCTCGATTTGTTCTTGATTTGACAGTTCGTTTGGCTCAACTAATGGCAATCTATCCAGCAGGCCACTTTTCACAAAAGTTGATAAAATTATGTTTTCCGTTGTGTACCAACAGCGTACCATAGCGTACCTTCAAGAATTTTGAACTTACTTCGCAAATTCCTTGTTTTAGAGTGTCCTGCTGAATAGACGGGTGATATTTCGAAAATCTTCATTAAACCTTTCAAAACATTCACCAATATAGTGTACCAATAGCGTACCTTCCTAATCTGAGGTTCATTTTTAACGTACATACCTCAAAATTTACCATACTTATTAGACCTGTTCATTTTAAACGAAATGTTCGGAATGTAACGGGTCAACCGTGATTACTGTTCGTCATGTTAATTTGAACTTCTGTGCAAATTTTCAGCAAAATCGGTGATGATTTAGAGGTGCTTCAAGTTAATTTTATGTTTTTAAGGTAATTTACGGCTTACAATATTTGTATCTCGAGACTGAAACAACGAAAGCTGCTGTAACAACTTTCATAGCAAAGTTTAATGTGTTATGTATCAACTTTGTAACCAAAGGTTGACTATTCGAAGTGATTTTATTGAAGTTTGACTTAGTTTCATGCTCGAAGATATCTTAAAAAGTGAAGAATTTTAAAGTATTTGTTCTACGAATTTTCCACCCATATGATATAAAAATGTGTAGTGTACGGCATAATGTTTCTCATATTGTTCTAGAAGTTTCGTTCCAACATAGTTTTCGTGTATATTTCATAGATTGAGAGATAAAAATCAGAAAAGAGGCCGTTTTAGCTAAAATTCACAAGACAACAGAACCAATAAAAGTCAATTAGATTGACAGAACATAGTTGCATTGCTTTTCAATGACGACCGATGACTGTTTCATTGATATATGATTTTTTCATAAATATGAATCCTCAGTAGACGTGTTTTTTTTATCAAATGCAAGTGTCACTCGAACCATTCAAATGTTCGTTATTTTATAAATTGCTGTTATGGTTCGAGTGACACTTGCCTTTGATAAAAAACACGTCTACTGAGGATTCATATTTATGAAAAAATCATATATCAATGAAACAGTCATCGGTCGTCGTTGAAAAGCAATGCAACCATGTTCTGTCAATCTAATTGACTTTTATTGGTTCTGTTGTCTTGTGAATTTTAGCTAAAACGGCCTCTTTTCTGATTTTTATCTCTCAATCTATGAAATATACACGAAAACTATGTTGGAACAAAACTTCTAGAACAATATGAGGAACATTATGCCGTACACTACACATTTTTATATCATATGGGTGGAAAATTCGTAGAACAAATACTTTAAAATTCTTCACTTTTTAAGATATCTTCGAGCATGAAACTAAGTCAAACTTCAATAAAATCACTTCGAATAGTCAACCTTTGGTTACAAAGTTGATACATAACACATTAAACTTTGCTATGAAAGTTGTTACAGCAGCATTCGTTGTTTCAGTCTCGAGATACAAATATTGTAAGCCGTAAATTACCTTAAAAACATAAAATTAACTTGAAGCACCTCTAAATCATCACCGATTTTGCTGAAAATTTGCACAGAAGTTCAAATTAACATGACGAACAGTAATCACGGTTGACCCGTTACATTCCGAACATTTCGTTTAAAATGAACAGGTCTAATACTTATTTATATAAAACTCTTTATAATACATTATATATAAAATCTGTAGAAGGACGTGAAAAAATAATAATATTTGAGTCTAAGGAAAGACGTGGTGATTGGAAATCTTTTACAAATCCTTCTCAAGAGTAGCTGTTATCGTAGTAATAGCAAGTTGAAAAGGAATGTGTTTGTAATTGTTTTCTGAAATAAGGAGCTCGGTTGCCTTGTGGTGACCGATTTTACTTACTGAGCAGGAAATCATGGATTTAATCCCAAATACCTTCCGCAGGCCACTTCTCACAAAAGTTGATAAAATTATGTTTTTTGATCATAAAATTGCATTCAGGGAACAGTTGTGTTTGCGCATGAGTGAACCAATGCCGTCTGGAGAAAACTCTAATGACGGCAACACTGCCCGAAAAATTTTTAAGGAATGGAAAATCGCCAGAAATCACTGGCCTTTACGAAAGGTTGCTGGAGCGATTGTATGTGCTTCTCACAATATTAACAGTAGATCTGACATCAACATTGAGGCATTTCAAAGCTATGCCTAAGAAACACGGGCTCTTTATGTCGAACTGTATAGGTGGAACCCATTTTCGCCAACCACCCATAAATTACTGGTACACGGAACGACCATAAGCAGACATGTAATTTTACCGATAGGCAAGAGGCGCAAGCGAAGATGCGCAAGACACACGGAACAAGAGTATCCGTAAGCTCCGAGAACATCATGCCCGAAAATTTAACAGAGTATCTAACATCGAGGACGTTTTTAAAAGACTGTTGATCACCTTCAACTCGGTGGTATTCTTGACTAACAAAAGAACAAGTTTCTTAAGTTTGGTGAAATATGCCCGAAGAATATAATGTTTGTTTCGTAAATATATATGCTTCGTTCCATTTAAAGTTTTCCGTCAATGCGTACAATGACAGTTTACTAAAAGGTTGTTCCACATGATAATTTATAATTGATATAGGGTGCCTCACAAAAAAAAACACATACAATTAATTCTATCTTTTTTCATTTTACATGCTACAAAAAATTTGTGCGAAGAAGACTTTTAGATATATTCAAAACCTTAAATTTTGATGAAGACAGTATGTTGTTATGTTTAGAAATTTTTGAGTTACAGTTAAATTTCAAGTTTTTTTTAGGGAAAAATAAGTTTTTTTAACTAATTTATTCAAATTTAATTAAAGTTGTCCTCGTTTTTTCCTCAAATATTTCTTTAAGTATGGCTTTTCAGATGATACCACAAGAAAAGTTTTAGCAATCCAACTCCATGTGATATAAGCATTTTAACACCACTTGGTTTTTTGGGCAAAATAGTCTATAACTTTTAATCGTTAAGACTTATCAACATGCTTTGTTCAACAAAAACGTTAACCAAATTTTGTTCTACAAGTTTATCCAAGACCATTTTCTAAAAGAAAATGGTTCAAAAAAGATAGAATAAAAGAACTGTTTAGGGACACCCTAACTAAATACTTAATAAATGCTTTAAAACAGTCAACTGAAGAGATAGATAAATGGTGTACTGAGTAAAGTAGTCTAAAATGATATTTTCTACAACTTTGCTCAGCAATGTAACTACCTATAACATGAAACGAAAAAGTTAGAATTTGATTTTGGATTTAAACGAGGACCACCCTAACCGGCTTTTTGCTCAATAGAAGCATGGTATGATAACAAACAACTTCTCTCACGACACTTAGCATCTAAAATGAACAAGAACGAAAAAAAAAACAATTGTTTCCTGCTAAATTGTCGATTCGGACCATAGTGCAGAGATGGAAAAAATCAAAAAAAATCCCAAATCAGGAACGACCGAAAATAACTGCTGATCTTGAGATCAGCAAAATCACAAACAGAAAATCATGGCAGATTTTAACCTTAGCTGATTTTGAAGTAACAAAAAAAAACAAAAAGGAAAATCAATAGCTTGGTATTACAGTCAAAGTAAAAAACCGACATCCACCACCATTTTGGAATCCAAGATGCGGACCAAAATCCAATATGGTGGCCCCCGGACAGGGAATGTGCATCTAAACCCAAAATTAGCTTAGATGCATATTTCCTATCCAGGGGTCACCATATTGGATTTTGGTCCACCATCTTGGGTTCCAAAATGGCGGTGGATGTCAATTTTCCACTTACACTGACTCGAGCCCATTCCGTAGATACCCATATTGCATGGGTTTAGATGCATATTCCCCGTCCAGAGGCCGCCGTATTGGATTTTGATCCACCATCTTGAATTCCAAAATGGCAGCGGATGTCAATTTTCCACTTACACTCATCGAGCCTATTCCGCAGATACCCATTAGACTGATGCAAAATTTGAAATTTTCGCTCCACAGTGCTCAAATGGTTTCAAATCAGGTCCTGATTAGTTTCCCAAAATTTAAACTCATTTGGTAAGAAACTGACTTGGCACAAACTATTCGAAGTTTGTATGGAAATTACTATGGAAAAACCAAACTTTTTGTTCATTGTCGTTTACCCATCTTCCATATTGCTTTTTTGAAAAAAAAATTATAATTATTCTTACGGGAAATTTTCTAAGCTACAACTTTGCGGAATATTGTTTTTCAGCCAAATGTCAAATTGAATTGTTATTAATTGTTTAAGAGAATGATAATCTTATGGCATGATCAAGCAGCTGTTCTGAGGGCAACACTGTATTCTGCAGTGACATAGTAGCCATGATATTTGAGCTCTATTTTTCGCACCAGAAACACCAATGTTGCCTACTGAATAGTTGAATGAGCATAATCATAAGACATCAGTGACTTGAATCATTAATAACTTTTGTTTTTTACATTTGATTGAAAAATAGTTTTCAACAAAGTTGTAGCTGAGAAAATTTGCTACAATCACTGCTATTATTTTTAAAAGAATAGTGATGTGGTGAATTGTTAGATAGATATGAACAAAAAAAAATGTTTTCCCATAGTAATTCCGATAAAAACTTGAAAAGGTTTGTGCCACGTCAGTTTCTTACTAAAGTAGTTCAAATTTTGGAAGGCTAAGCAGGACCCAATTTGGAACCGTTTAAGCACTGTGGAGCGAAAATTTCTAATTTTGCATTAGTCTAATACCCATATTGCATAGGTTTACGCCATATTGGATTTTGGTCTGCCGTTTTGGATTTGTGGAAGCCATCTTGGGTTGAAATCCACCATTTTAATTTCATCTGGAATGTTGACTTGAATTTCGGAATGCCCCAAACTCAAGAATTTAACATATCTTCTAATCCTATAATTTTCGATGATTTTTATCTTGGTTGATATTGATGCTGGTTGATTTTGGGAATCGAAAATCACGGCTGACATTGGTCGAAAATCACGTGTGATTTTCGTGGCGATGATGGCTTGTGATATTGGTGCCTGTGATTTTGATTGATATTGATCTTGAAAGATTCTTTCTTCTTATTCGCATTTCAAGCTTATTGCATATCGCATATTAGCTTATTGCGTGCTCTCAACTTAGTGTTCTAGATGCACTTTCACAGTTATTAATTAAGAGCTTTCGATGCCTGTACCATTTTTGCATTAGTATAATTGTGTGGCAATAATATTTCCAATAATTCTTCTATGCCCAGGGAAGTCGAGAAATTTACCAACCCGAAAAATTCCTAGACCAGACCGGGAATCGAACCCAGCCACCTCCAGTATGGTCTTGCTTTGTAGCTGCGCCTTTACCGACTGAACTAAGGGAGGCCCCGAAATCTTGAAAGACTGCTGATTTTGATTTTCAGATCTTGATTTTAGCCAACACCCAGACAACCAGATGTCGTATAATAATAACCAGACAGTATCGTAAATTTCAACAGTTTAAGTCAAAATCGCATATAAGAATGGCATACCTTGTTTAAGTTAAATCGTATAGAATGCAAATTTCCGCCCTATATGCGATGACTCATTTTTCCGTCGTACTGTATAACAAATTAAATAGGATTACATCGTAAGACTTTTCCAAATGAATTTGTTATTACAGATTAAATCGTATATGATGATAAATCAACTTGTTTAAAATTAAATTAAACTATGCACGTATATGGTCTCCACTTTTGTACGTACAAGCCATTTATTTTATTTATTTTTTTTTTATATCTTTATTAAGAAGACTTTCAGCCCTGGGCTGGTTCGTCTCCGACAAAGCCATTTATTTGTATTCTATACGAATTGTTAGACTTTATACGGCAAGGATTCATCAGTCGAAGTATTAGCCTTTCTAGATGACGGGTCGTCGCTCACTTTGATAGAGAAGGAAGTTGCGGACCAGCTTGGTATGGAAGGGGAACTGGAGCCACTTTGTCTACAATGGACAGGAAACGTAACGAGAATGGAGTCGGAATCAAGGGTCATCCAACTCGGCATATCTGGGACGGATAGTAGCAAGCGTCATACTCTCGAGTGCGTACGTACGGTTGATCGTTTGGATCTTCCTCCGCAGTCCTTGCAATTCAATCAACTGGTTCAACAGTTTCCTTACCTTCGGGGTCTTCCGGTGAAAAGTTATAACGGAGCCACCCCTCGCATCCTAATTGGTTTAGAGGACACGGAGCTACTAGTAACGTTGAAGAAACGAGCAGGTAGACCTTCTGAACCAGTCGCAACGAAAACTAAACTTGGTTGGACAGTATACGGAACGGTGGAAGGCCTGAACGAACCATTTGAACACCGTCTTCTGCACATCTGTTCTGGTTCCAATGATCGGGAACTACATGACGTTGTCAAGGTGTTTTTCTCGATCGAAAACACTGGTGTAGTGGCTGCGCCAGCGGTAGAAGCAGAAGATGTCCGGCGGGCACGGGAGATCATGCAACGGACCACGGTTCGCACAGCTTCCGGAAGGTTTGAGACGGGCTTGCTGTGGTGCTATGATTATATCGAATTTCCGAACAGTAGACCGATGGCAGAGCGGCGTCTTAAGTGCCTAGTGCGAAGACTAGAGAAAACACCTGAACTCTACGAAAACGTCAGGCAGCAGATTGCTTCTTACGAGTCCAAAGGATACGCTCATCGAGCATCGGCGGAAGAGTTGGCCAAATTTGACCCTCGAAGAACTTGGTATCTTCCCCTCGGAGTGGTTATTAATCCAAACAAGCCGGGAAAAATTCGAGTGGTTTGGGATGCTGCGGCGAAGGTGGATGGAGTCTCGTATAACTCTATGCTTCTGAAGGGACCGGACCTGCTCGCGTCTCTTCCTGCGGTTCTACAGCGTTTTCGTCAACGGCAGATAGCAGTAACGGGTGATATCAGAGAAATGTTTCACCAGCTCCTGATTCGCTCCGAAGATCGTCAAAGTCAGCTTTTCCTGTGGTACGACAGTCCGTCTGGCGAAATACACGTCTATGTCATGGACGTAGCGACGTTTGGGTCGACATGCTCACCGTGCTCTTCCCAATACGTCAAGAATCTGAATGCAGAAGAATGGAGGTGCGAGTTCCCGGAAGCTGTAGATGCTATCGTACATAACCACTACGTGGACGATTATCTCGACAGCAGGGATTCTGTGGAGGAAGCGACGAGTATTGCAACAGCAGTAAAAGAGGTCCATGCGAAAGACGGATTTGAAATCCGTAATTGGCTATCGAACTCGGATGAGGTTGTGCGACGGGTCGGGCACGACAGCGTTGCAGATCTTGCCAAGAGCTTTGCAGTAGACAAAAACAATGGCACGGAAAGAGTTCTGGGAATGTTGTGGCAGCCTTCCAGTGACGTTTTCACGTTTTCCATACGCTTCCGTGATGGGATATCCCAGATATTGAACGACAGGGTTGTTCCAACGAAGCGCGAAGTCTTGAGGCTTGTAATGAGTCTTTTTGATCCTCTTGGCTTAGTGGCCGCTTTCGTAGTACACGGAAAGTGTATCATCCAGGACATCTGGAGGTCCAATGTGAGCTGGGACGAGCAAATTCCGGAAGAGATCTTCAACCGATGGCGTCGCTGGGTGGAAGTACTGAAAGAGCTGGATCAAGTCACTATCCCTCGCTGCTACTTCCCAAACTATTCACCAAACAGCTTGGACACACTTGAATTGCATGTGTTTGTTGATGCAAGTGAGGAAGCGTACGCCTGCGTTGCTTACTTTCGCATCATCGATCGTGGTCAGGTCCGCTGTGCACTTGTATCTGCAAAATCGAAGGTCGCTCCACTAAAACCACTGTCAATTCCGCGGTTGGAACTGCAGGCAGCGGTCATAGGAAGCAGATTGGTGAAGTCAATTGAGGAAAACCACACGCTGCCGATTCGTCGTAGAGTAATCTGGAGCGATTCAAGCACGGTGTTATCGTGGATACAGTCGGACCAGCGCAAATACCGTCAGTTTGTGGCGGTTAGAATCAGCGAAATCCTAGATGTGACCAATATAGAGGAATGGCGTTGGGTGCCAACGCGCCTTAACGTAGCGGATGAAGCAACGAAGTGGGTGAAAGAACCCAGCTTCCATGCGGATTGTAGGTGGTTTGTCGGACCTGAGTTTTTGTACCAGGAGGAGTCGGCGTGGCCAAAAAGGATTCTGCCAACGAAGGACACTGCTGAGGAGATGCGCCCGATACATGCCCATCATCGGAAAATTCCTGAACCTCTGATAAACTACAGCAGGTATTCCAAGTGGGAAAGATTATTGAGAGCCACAGCATTCCTTCTGCGGTGTGTGAATAACTGCAGAAGCAAAATCAACGGAGATCCTGTCGAACTCAACCCCATTTTGTCTCAACGGGAGCTGAAGAATGCCGAGGAGTTTCTTTGGCGTGCCGTGCAGATGGAGGCATATCCTGATGAAATCATCGTGCTCGGAAGACAGCAGCAACAATCGAGTGCAGCAAGGTTGGAAAAAACAAGCCCGCTTCACAAATTATCACCTTTCGTCGATGAGACGGGAGTAATTAAACAGGAAGGGCGAATTGGTGCTGCCAACTACGCTTCCTATGACGCTAGGTTCCCAATAGTGCTTCCACGGAACCATTACGTGACTGGACTCGTTTTGGATTGGTATCACCGTAAATACGCACACTGCAACGTGGAGACTATTGTTAATGAGGTTCGGCAAAAATTCCACATTTCTAACTTGCGCACGGCAGTGCGCAAACAGATACGAAAGTGCAACTGGTGTATCGTCTACAAGGCTACCCCACGGGCTCCGAGAATGGCGCCCCTTCCAGAGGCCAGGATGTCTTCATACGTACGTCCTTTCTCCTTTACCGGAGTGGACTATTGCGGACCTTTCTACATCCGGATCGGTCGTAGTAGTGTGAAGAGATGGGTAGCGCTCTTTGTGTGCCAAACCGTGAGAGCCATCCATTTAGAGGTCGCAAGCAGTCTGTCAAGTGAATCCTGCAAAATGGCTGTGCGACGGTTCATCGCAAGAAGAGGTGCTCCGCAGCAGATCTTCAGTGATCAAGGAACCAATTTTCATGGCGCTAGGAAGGAGTTGAAACAGGAGATTGCAGGCATCAACCAGAAACTGGCTGACACCTTTACCAACTGCAACACTCAGTGGATTTTGAATCCACCAGCTGCCCCACACATGGGTGGCTCGTGGGAACGACTGGTCCGTTCGGTCAAAATAGGTTTAAACACGCTCTCTACCAGCAGGAATCCGGACGAAGAGACCTTTGGAACCGTTCTGGTCGAGGTTGAAGCCATCGTGAACTCTAGGCCGCTAACGCACGTGCCACTTGATTTGGAAGATGACGAAGCGCTTACCCCCAATCATTTTTTGATGTTGAGCTCCAGTGGTGTTGTGCAGCCAACCAAGTCGCCTGTTGATACTGGCGCTGTTCTCAAAACCAACTGGGGCCACGCGCAGAGTCTTTTAGACCTCTGCTGGGCCAGATGGGTAAGGGAATACCTCCCGACTATCAGAACACGCACCAAGTGGTTCGATGACTCTATACCAATTCAACCAGGAGATTTGGTGATGTTGGCGGATGGTGGAATACGGAACAGCTGGATTCGCGGAAAGGTCGTCAGAATTTACCCCGGAAAGGATGGCAGAATCCGCATCGCTGACGTCCAAACTAGTAGCAGAGTGCTTCAGAGGCCAGTAACAAGTCTGGCTGTACTTGAGGTTCAAAGCAGCGGTACAGCTGGAAGGAAGTTCCAGCAATACGGGCCGGGGAATGTTGGAGACAGCCAGTTGCATACCGGTCTTGAAGCGAGCCAAATTGCAGCAGGGCAGCTGACTGGGCGTAACGCTACGCTTGACAGGACAATTGACATCATGGATGACAGAACAGGTGACAGGACAGATAAGGAGAGTTATAAGAGAACAAATAAATAGAAAAAGGAAGACAGATTAAAAACTATTAAGTACTTACTTTCTTTCGCATTTTAAAAGTGTTTGCTAGTGGTATAATATATAGTGAATTCTTTTTTTTTTCGTAAGTTTACATGAATTAAAATACTAGCAATTATTAAATTAAAATTTACATACAGATAGCACAACACATTAAAAACAGTTTGTTGACACAGTGAACTTCAACAGGTGAAGTGGATTAAAATTTGTAAGTTTATATATTTAGTTTTCTAAAATTAATCTAATCATTAAATAAAACCTACAGCTAAAAGCATTCTCATTCAAAACTTGAGTTTGCTAACGGAAGATCCGAAAATTCACCGAAGTTTACATTGCCGTCAGCAACACCGACAATAAGCTCGCATAAGTGGCGTCAACAGCCAATGAGCAGCCAATACTTTTACATCTACCCTACCTTAATAAAAAGCATTGTAATGATAAGTGAAAAACTTTGAACAGCAACGCTCCACGTAAATTTACATGATGGATATGCTGTAAAAGTATATTTATGAATAAACATAACTTTGCTGTCAGCATTCCAAATCTCAACCGAGTAGCTAAAGTTTGAATACTTGCATATTGACTCGAGTCCGAGCGTTGCCTCACTTTTCATGCTAAGACACAGCTTTTCTCCAAACATCTTCCACCTCAAAGCGCAAGGGAGAGATGGAGAAATCTTCACCGAGTAAGTTATAAATCCGCAAAATTCAAGCGGGAAAAGTTTTTCCCAACCATCTGTGCAGCAATCTTCTTGATTAGTTTTTAAACACGTATCCCACACTTTCCAACTTGGGTAATCCTTAAAGCCATCAGTACATACTAAAAAAAGGAGCTCATGCTCATTGTGCTCATGCTGAACTGTTTTAACAGGATATATGGCCAGATGTAGACTGTGAACGAAAATGGCACAGGATATCTTCTGCAATCGTCCCCGTATCGGATTGAACTTTTACCTTTCACAATAATTGTTTTCCTGTCCGTCTTCGAGCGGTGGCAGTGACCTTTACCTTCACAACATGTGTTGTTCCGAATGACTCCCTGCTAGGGTGGTTCTTAAGACTTTCTTGACAGGAGTTGAAATTTGTCACCACGACTCGTGATTACATCGCTCGTCAACGACCAAGTTCACCATAAATTCCGAACAATTTACAACTTTCAGCAATGACCCCATCGATCAACAGAGGACGGGTCGCAATTTGATTGTGCTGTAGTAGTTGAGCTCTTCCTTCCTACTAGCAAAAGGATTGCGAGGGATGATGACGGTAACATTGAAGTGCCAGCTCACGTTGAGTGACATTTGTCAATTTGTCGTTAATTGTATTAGATAGGTCCTGACTGGGATGGAGGGCGATGATGGGCGGAATTGTAGCAATTGAAGTGCTGTTGTTGATGTTGTACTGGGCCTGCTACAGCACAAGTCACCAACAGATAAATATTCACATTTTCACTGAATGTTGAGAACTTAAAGCAATAGGAGGTAGGTTGATTTTGTCATGTACAGGTCGGATATCAATTACAGATGTCGTGTCGGTGTGGTTTCTTTGAATCTGGTCCCACGTCAACTTGATTGGAGGTTAGTGTTCCAGTTTGATGTTCCCTTCGATAGTGCCGTTCAGCTTTACGATTGTACTATAATATCAGACATGTTGACTCATTTTGAGGATTCCGGTAGTGTTAAACCTAACAACAGAAGTGGAAGTGTGAACGAATCAGTGTATCAAAAAGTGTAGAAGCGATGCTTGTGGATGTGGTTCACATGCCTATGTAAACTGCATTGCCGTGAGATGACAAATAGACTTAAGCGCCACCAAGGTAAATTTTCACTTTTCACCATATTCGAATTCTGCATCCTAAAAGACACTTCAAATTTGTACAAAATTTGATTTTGAAGCATGCAGATACATAAAGTGACGTCAACCATACATTTTCGGTGAAACAGTGCAATTTTTTCTCTGTTTCTACACATAAGTGACGTCCGCCATACTGACTTTTTAAAGGCTTTTATTAAACATCAAGGATCATATTATTATCTTCGTTTAGATGAAATTGAACAGATCCAGTAATATTATTTGCAAATTTTCGTAATCATTTCGAGGATATTCAAAAATATTTGTTTTCTGAACAATACACTAAATTGATTTACGTCACATTGTCATCTTGCGGCAGTGCAGGTAAAGCTTGCCTGCTACCGCTAGATGCGCTAGTGTTCACAGAAATAAAAGGAGCCACTTATGGATGCGAAGTTCCATTTCTGCTCTGTGCTCAAGGATAGTTCATCTCCAACCATGTTGCGATTCGTGCCCATTTATTTATTTTTAATTTTTTATTTGTTTTATTACTTTATTTGTACTCGCTCAATCAAGTAAACTTTACAGAGCCAAGTTATCATTTTGGTTATACAATGAATGTCTTAAATCTAAAATTACAGACTTTGAACCGATTACTCGCGGTCTTCTCGAGGTTAGAGGATGGCAATTGTATGGATCAGGAGAGGGAGAAGGAGATTTCTAAAACATGTACTTAATCCTATCAACTCTTTAATTATACAATTATTTTAGAAACAAATATAAACAATACAAACTAAACACAAGGTTAATCAAACTTACAATCTAAAGTTAATATTCTCGAAGCAAACATATTTGATGATGTATGATAATTGCCTACCACTCATTGTAGCACGGGACCTAAGTCCGATAGCAGTGGGCGCTCCTCACTGTTTGATTTGATCAAGCTTAATAACCTCGGATTGTCCTCAACATGTCACTATATGAAGGGCCAAAAACGGTTTTGATGGATCTATAGGTAATTCACCTATACGCTTCCACGGGATGATAGAGAATCTCCTTCCAGCCACATGATCATACAATTGGTAAAAAACAAGCTGTCCGACAGAAGGATATCCCAATGAGTGTGGAGAAGAGCCCTTCCTTTTTCCACGAGATGTTAACAACAGGGAGTTGGAGTTGACAATTTCACTCTCCCCATCCAAATCGCTTCAATTGGGTGCCCTGGTGGTCTTTCCCATCATTTATCGGTTCATATAATAATATAATGTGCATTATATGCATATGCTATCTTTTTGTGAAAGTATATAAGATGACTTACCTTTGATGCTGAAGTAACTTACCTAACTGATAACCATCTTCCTTCTTGTCTTTTGTTGGCCTTCTTGTCTTTTGTTGGCCTTCTTGTAGGTGGTTGACCTAAGGTCTCCTATTCTCTGATGGGACTGTCAGCTTAGGTGTAGCTTCCAGGGAAGAGCATTTCTTATTCAGCCGCTGGATGCCAGTCAGACTCTTTTTGAGCCGCATCTCCGTGGTGGACAGACGCTCGGAGACGAATCATTTCCTCTACCGCCGTGTTATGGTTACTGCGCCAGTGTTCGCTTCGCACCTCCTCACTTTGCTATTTTCGGATTGACAACATTGCCCAGGCTACGCCACCCAGCTATGTCCATAGTTCAGCTGGTAGTCGTTTGTAATCATATGACTCGTGGAGGCGTGAGAACCGGAGCTAGGAATCACTCTCCTTCCAGGTTGTCGACTCACCATTTTGTAGCTGTTAAATAAAACGTGACCGAGTCAGTTGCATCGACCCTCTCCGATTTGAACCAAACTTGGTGGAACGACTTATTTTAGGCCAACAATCAAAAATCCAACGTTTTGTACCCATCGACTCACCCCCCGGTTCTGGAGACTGCCCCCACTTTTTCCGATCTTCAAGAAACACCATTTTTCTTTTGAACATATCTCTGGACCAAATTATGCTACATACAGGATTGGGCACTCATTTTGAAGGATTTTTAACGTACGTAATTTTTATGCAATGATGTCAACTTGTCGATTTTTGCAATTTAAAACTTAAAATGCAAATATCTCAAAATGCCCCCACTTTTTTTTCTAATTTTGATAGCACCAAAATGTTCGGCAGACATTTTTACATAAGAATTACCTAACCAAAAAAAAAAATCTTTTTTTTTTGGGAGATATGGATTTTTAAAGATTTAACGTTTTTAAAAAGTTCCATTACTGTACAACCCTTCAATATGAAACGTTGGACAATCCTGAAAGTTGATAGAAACGATGAAACCTGTAAGTTTGATGAGGATCGAATCCTTCTTTCATTTTATACAAGCAAATGCTCAGATAATATTAAACCAGATTTGTTTCGACAGTGTTGCCAGCGTTGCAAACTTAAATTTAGATTGATAATTTTTCTTATTTCCAACACTTTATTTTTTTGCGTTCGGAAATGTATTTCATATTACATGGTATTTTAGGCAGATCCACTCGTTTTGCGTTTCTTTATTTATTGATTATTTTAAATAAACTTTTGAAATATTCAAAAACTAATTTGATTCTAAATTAAAGCAGCCGTGTTTCTATCCTACTTATTGCTATCAATTATTGAACAAATATCATCTAATACATTGAGTAGCATGAGTAATTACTTCTTCCGTTTTGCCTTAGATTTGGGAAGTGAATTTGAACGCTGCACCAAACGCTGACAAACTGCACCGATCTTGCTGAGTCCATTGCTTG